CCTAGCATTAGAGCTTTCTCCAGAGTGTGTGTGTGTATGCATGTGTATATGTGTGTGTGTGTGTGTGTGTGCGCACGCATGTGTATACATATACACACACACATATACACATGCATACACACACACACTCTGGAGAAAGCTCTAATGCTAGGAAAGGTGGAAGGAAAGAGAAGAGGACAACCAGCAGCAAGGTGGATGGACTCAGTTACAGTGGTGATGGATACATCATTGGAAGACCTGAAGGACCAGGTTAAAGATAGATTGTCATGGAGAAAATCTCTCTAAGTGGTATTCTGCTGGTCAATAAAATAGTAAAATTAATGAATTGATTCAATGATAATTAAATATTGCAATCTATTACTTTACTATTTGGATAGTATCAGCACCCCAAAAAGCTTCCCCCTATACGTACACATGACAGCACAAAACATTTAGGAATAATTCAGACCTGCTACTCAATTCCCAGAGTTTACTTCACTGCATCAATCTTTCCTTGTCTGTTACTTATCCATACTAGAGAGAACATTCTGATAAGTAAAAAAATTCCAGTAAAGCCATTTTTGCTGTCTAGAAGTGCCAACAGAGCAAAAAAACAAAAAAGGATATTTCTTTCATGCTTTACCACTTGGATTCCCTTTCTCCATGGCCAGTGCAGAATGAGTAAGCTGGAGAGAGAAAATGCTCAGTCACCTTGAGGGAATTCTGTGCACTCCTCTACCTAGTCCACCTGATCGCCACGATGGATCAGGCTTCTGTTTAAACCCAAGAGTGAAATTAAAGATCATAGGGTCAAACTAAAGGTTCAATTATACAGATCCTGGGCCCCCAAAGCGGCAATCATGGGCACACCATGCCTACAGACATCTCCCTTGGCACAGCTTCCCTGCCCCACATTATTTTAATTAGAACACTGAGAAGTCAGTCGGCTGCAGAGCAGCAGGGGGCCAGTCTCCAACAATAACCTGATCTCCAATAATGCCTCTGGATTTACAAGTCTCTATAAACTTCCTTTTAAAAAATTTAAAGGATGGGTAGCAACATCACAGTGCTTTATTAGGAAGTATGCCCTGCTGCCACAGGAAAGACATGGGCACGTGCAAAGCATCCTGGAAAAGAAGGAATACAAAGCTTCCTGGGAGACAGGGAGGGGGCAACAGGGAGTAATCAAGTAAGCTGGCATTTGGTCCCTAGTGAAGTCTCCCGTGACGGCCAATTTGTGAGTAAGGAAGCAGCAGCCATTTTGTTTTCAAAACTCCAAATATAGTCACCAGCCCAATTGCGGAGAGCAGGGGGGCGCTCATGTAAGTAGATACATGCAGGAATTTGAACCCAGGAAAGCAGGGCAGGGGGAGAAAAAGAGAGCAAAAGGGTTGCAGAAGTGGAAGGGAAGGGAGAGGCAGAAAGTAAGTCACTAGCAAGACCAGAAAACTTTTGAGCCATTGACCGCAGAATCCAGTGCCGGGTTCAGTAGGACATAGAGCCAGATTGAAAAATTTAACCTGAGTGAAAAAAAATGAGGAACAAGGAATTGGGTCCCCTGTGCAGCACCCACAGGCACAGAGGCCTCTGTCACCGGCGCCGATAGCATAAGCTAGCTGCCAGGCTGCAGAGCCAATGGGCAATTCAAGCACCATCTTTTTTTCTGAGACAACTTCAGGGACCACCTAGGCATCCTTTGAAAATAGAAGGGTGATACAAGGATTGGGACCACATCCAAAATATGGGTATATCTCTGCATAGAATCTGTATTTCAATTTTATGAGATACCTAAATCAGAACAGAAATTTAGTAATATGGATCCAATCTATGGCAGCATATAAACCTATTCAGGGATTTATATGATAACCATGATTCCCAATACTCACTTTTACTTCAAGTTTAATAGTGACTCTTACTCTTTTGATGTGACATAATATATACAATATATTTAATCATTTATGACTAATTAGTGACATATTAGATAGCTATACTCTCCACAATATTTTTAAATCCCTGGTTTATTCACCTGTCCTATATCCTTTTATGCTTTTTCATGTTCTCTTGCTTATAGAGTTTCTTTAAGGGGTTCAATTAAAAAAAACAAAAAAAGGAAAAAGAAAGGCTGGGTACCTACTACCCAGTGTTTTATTTAGAAGTTCATCTATCTTTTTGAGCGGGGCAGGGAGCTGCCTTTAAGCCACTGTTGACTCCTGGCACCTGTCTGGACAGGTCCCTGCAGTTTTCTTGGCAAGATTTCAGAAGTGGTTTGCCGTTTCCTGCTTCCTAGGGCTGAGAGGGAATGACTGGCCCAAAGTCACCCAGTTGGCTTTAGTACCTAATGTGGGACTAAAACTCACAGTCTCCTGGTTCCTCGCCTGGTGCCTTAACCACTACAACAAACTGGGTCTCTACGACTACCTTCCCAGGGAGAAAAAACCTGAGATTGTTAAAGGGAAAGAAATGCCTAGAGTGGGTGA